CTGGGTTTTTGTGAGTGTTTTTTTTTAATATTTTTTAACCTAAACTTCTAATTAAAAAGTCTAAATTCGTCGGTTTTTAAAATTTGTTTTTAGTTTTTTAATCTAAAGTTATGATCTTCGAGTGTCGTATATAGTAAGTAGAAAGACTGAGTTGTTATTTCGAGTTATTAACATGAACAAACGAAATTGTTTTTCTCTGAGTGGCCCTAGTGCTCATCCATACCCAGCCTACGGATCTTCAATATGTGCGATATAATAATTACACTAACAAATGGTAGTAATCATACATCAAAATAAATCCTGTAATTATAGTAGTATAATCATGTGTATACTTCTCATATAAAACATCCGATTCTTTTAATCCAGGATTGTTGATAGAGCCCAATGCAACACGTGTCATATTTCTCAGCGCCTCCGCTAAAAATAGAACACGGAGCCTCTTAACAGCTGTATCTTAATCATGTTTTTTTATAAACGGAAGAGAAACGGAGACCATTACATAAGTCCCCCAAACAGTCCCTGCTATCGCAAAGCAATGCTGATTGTTCACTAAAGAAACAAACTTTCTCAATTCCGGTCCAACATTTCCAAGGTCCAGGGCGTAAGTGAACTCAACACTGTTGTAAAGTTGAAAATTAGATGAACTCTTACATTTTTGTAGGTTAATGTTTGTTATCTACTGTAATTATCGATGGAAATCTCATTTCGTGTTAATTAAACGAGTACGTTTGTAATATTCAGGTTAGTTTCGGTTCAAAACAAAACAAACTCTGTCCAACTTAAATTTTTTATTCTCTTGTAGGAATTGACCCTCTCCAGAGGTTTGTGTAGAAATAAACGCTATTACAGCACAATAATACCTGACCTCCAGTGTACATTCCCTGACCCAGAGAGGCAGTCATGCACGACTCGGGTAAACTACTGGCCAGACAGCAGAACCCCATAGACGACACTGGACGATAGCTGATACACCTACAAAGTGATTAGTTTCATCGGCAAGAGCCTTGCCATACACCATAATCAACATTAAAGTTTCAAACATTAAACATTTTTGGCGATCATGCTTGTTGTTCAATAAAACAAAAATGATCACTCCGTTGTGCTCCTTATATCAGATCACCCTATATGTTAATTGTCATCCAGATTTGATAACATTTAAATTTCACTTCCTGTTGCGTCCATCTTGAACTTTGAAAAAAGTCTGAAACAAATCCTGACATGGTTATCAACATTCACATCAAGTTTCATTTCAATTTGACCAATACTTTTTGAGTTATGGCCTGTTAAATTTTAACCAATCAGAGGCTCTGAACGCCATGTTTGATGTCCGATCGGAAAAAGAATAGCCGAAAGCACAACATAGCTATCTACGCTCTTCGCTTCAATCAGACGTACGGTTTTCGAAAAAAAATGTGTTGGGTAAATCGTGATGGAAGTATAAAAATATGAAATAGAAAAGAAACGGGGTAAAAACCATGATTCCCCACTTCGTTTGAGGGACTTAATAATCCACACTCGAGTCGATAGGGCGGGGTATCACACTTCACTTCCAGGTAATTGCTCGTCTTGGAGTTAATATAGGATAACCACGATACTTAAGGCGAAAGGATATGTGGTTTTTATCAATACCTCCCGAAAATTTAATTTGATTTGATTTGAATGCCGATTGTCACAAAACAGATAGAAATAATTAATAATTTTAACAAAATAAGAAAATTCGAACCATAAACTAAATATCAAAATACTTTAACAGTAAGTATACTACCGATGTTATTGATTTTTTAAATACTTTATGAGAAAACGTCAAATTTTTGGAAACAAATGACATTTTGAATTTCTTCCATATTCAGTCTAGTCTATTCAAAATTATTAAACATATAGATAGCTTTATCCCTAACCCTAAACTTGTCCAAAGATCGACACTTCACCATATGTGCAAAGTGCTGATTTTTGACTTAGATGTGTATCACCCAAATGACTTGTTGAACAATAGTGGACATAGGAGACCACCCTGTTACACTCCAAACCTTTATTTACACATGTGCTTTTCCTAATATATAACAACCCCTAGCACGCATACAAATAATGCCGACATGTCCTTGAATGACCTTATCTGTCAATTACAGTTAGGACGTTAAATATATTATATGACCGATAGTTACTAAACATATCGTTCAACAATATGTTATATACCCCAATATCATCAAATGATCTTTTGACACAACTTTCTACATTTTCCACCAAGACGAAAATTTTAAACACCTTGTACAGTACCGTTCTTACACAGAGAAGTAGATGTGTAGGCATTGATACCATCTGCTGTATAAGACTTCGCCAACACAATTGGTTGTTCGATGTTTTAAAAACAGGTGGCAATAACTTTACTGATGATCAAGAGATTGGTAAGTGTGCTAAATGTTTTAAGAATTATCAGAATAGAAAGCCACAACCTGAAGGTAAAAACGTTGGTGTTTATGATACGTGATGAAACATGCCACAATTATCCGTAGAAGATCTATACTCGAGGGATTTAGAAACACAGGGTAAACTTTGAAGATGATTCTCGGCAAGACGTCGAGTATAATGTTTAATATTTTTTATGTAAGAATGAAGTTTAATCCAAACAGAAAAAAACCTGCAAAACCAACGATTTGTATCTGGTAAGTGATTTAGGAGTAATTGAATCCCAAGCCATAGACACTGGTGATGAGCAGCGGTAAGGAACAGACCTACAGACTAGTGACGTGCCCACAAACCAACTTCCCGCAATCGTTTCCTTACAGTTTTCGCATGGATAGGACGGTTATGAGTACCTATTGTTTGAAGGGCAGTAAGGTGCCGATTGCGCAAATGCGCGAGACGAATAAACCTGTCCTGACGTTGTGACGTCACGCGTGGACGCACAGACCTAGGTCTGTCAGGAATTCGCTTAGTGTCCCTAAGACGTCTAACAACATGTTCTTTAGTGCAAATATGACCACCGAAATGTCTGACAACCTGTATATGCCGTTGACTTTGCATAATCATCGCAATGACCTGAACCCTCTGAATTTCTGTCAGCCATATCATTGTTCAATGCTATTAGAAATTAATCAAAATATCGGAAAATTATGTATCTCTACAAAGACTTAATGGTATGAAAAGCAGTGTAACTCAATGTCACAACACTTTTGTGCACGAGATTTTCATGTTTTGTCCTTTTCCCTGAAGACATCGTCACGTAATAAAATAATTCAGCATTCGATACAGGACCATGTGCACTGTAACCTAGCGAGAGGCTTGACCGATTTTCATTGTTTATAAACAACGCGTTCGCAAATTATTGCAGATAATGTCACCTTACGTTTATTTATCGCTCAGGTATATTTTATGGCCATCCTTCCCACACAAAATGCAATCTACTTATGAAGAGTTTCAATCAAAACTCGACCATATTGCCAAAACGCGCAAAACATCAACTTTTCTTTCATAATAAGCTTGGGTGTCCTTGGTCCTCACATATGTGTTTACATCATCTCTTCTTAACCCTAACTTTGATATCCGCACTGACGAAAGAAAAATGTTGACTTCCCAGCTACTTTCCAGATCACTAAAATGGCAGAGCGCAACTACTGTAACTTATGTAACTTATGTAACTATCGTAACTTGTGTAACTTATGTAACTTGTGTAACTATCGTAACTTCTGTAACTTATGTATCTTGTGTAACTCGTGTAACTAGCGTAACTTCTGTAACGAGGGTAACTTGTGTAACTTATGTAACTAGTATAACTAGCGTAACTTTTGTAACTAGCGTAACTCGTGTAACTAGTGTAACTGTATAGGTCTTGGAGGAGGGATAGGTTGATTATATAAGGAAGGTTTTGGATGAAGAGAATATTTCTGTTGACACCAGTAATCATGAACATGAAGATCTGTGTACAAGTAACAACCCGAGACAGGGTCCTGAGCTTGAAACAACAATTATTGTGTCTGTAATGGTATAAAGAGTGAACAAGTAGACGTTATCCCCCCTTGAGGACTAGGAGGATTAAGGTGTGCCCGATACTGAGTACCGATCCAGTGAGTCGTCGAATTCAGTAGATGTTAACCCCTCAACCCCTCCCCCCCCCTTGAGGACTAGGAGGATTAAGGTGTGCCTGATACCGAGAGTACCGATCCAGTGAGTCTTCGAATTCAGTAGATGTTAACCCCCCACCCCCCTTGAGGACTAGGAGGCTTAAGGTGTGCCCGATACTGAGTACCGATCCAGTGAGTCGTCGAATTCAGTAGATGTTAACCCAAAACTGATGATGATGAGGATGACGAACAACATTTTGACCAGTGCAGGTATTTCATATATATATAATGATTTCGAAATCTGCACTCAAACGGATTTTGTCTGTATGTAGAACATATGAAGGACATTGGCAATATGTGATAAAGATGAACCATGTACGTATGTTTGTATAGCACCAGTGTGTGTTCAGGGTCCTTCAGTCGAATGGAGAAGTGGGACAAATCAACATTCAATGTCAGGGAGTAATGTCCTGGTGTTGGCTGCTGTTTATTCATTGTAGAAAATTGAAAAAAAAAAAACATTTAAATGTTTAACCCTATGAACCAAATATATTTTGCATGGAACTTTCATGAACATTCAGTCTTGGATGGGAGATGAATCAGGCTGAAAAGGTTGAGAAATGGGAATTCCTATTTGAATTAAGAATTACTACAACATATGGCCATTATTTCAGTTATCAGCGACTCGGTATTGTTGTTGTTTCTACTTTATATCATTATTCTGATTCTGGTGATTCTTAAGCTGCTCCTTGTATAATTCCGATTTTGAAACTCGAAAAGTTTGGATATCTATTAATTTACAAAGATTTGGTATAGAAACAATGGAATACACATCCTTCAATCCATTTATTTAAATGACATCTTAAATGGACCGGTACAATCGATGAATCTTTGATTTCTCCAAGTCGTCTCCATCATACGACTGAAACACAGATTTGTGGCTTATGAACAGATGCCACAGTGTTTTGGACACAATGCCTTGGCTGCTTGTGGGTTATCACAGATTCTCAAAGAGTCCAGTTCGGCACAGTTATAGTTTTTCTTATCCTCGCACGGCCCTGTACTCGCTGAAGCAAAAGAGCGAAAAGTTAGGATATTTCACTACCATAGAGATCGGCAATATCAAATCCATGTTTTCTACTGTTATGTTAAATACTTTGCATTTTACATTAAAATTCTAGATTATACAGATACACAAAGAAAATCACAGAGGAAGTTCGTTGCTATGGTGATTACTGTGTAACTTTTGTTACTATAGTTGCAATGACAATCCGAAGGTACATGTATAATAGGGAAACAAAAAGACGTAATTTGGTTCTTTAAAAACTTGAACACTGTCTAAAATTCGCTTTCCATGGGTCAGGATTGTAACACATTAACACTCATTGTGTGTGTGATGTCTGTCAGGATTGTAACACATTAACACTCATTGTGTGTGTGATGTCTGTCAGGATTGTAACACATTAACACTAATTCTGTGTGTGATGTCTGTCAGGATTGTAACACATTAACACTCATTCTGTTGGTGATGTCTGTCAGGATTATAACACATTAACCCTCATTCTGTAGGTGATGTCTGTCAGGATTGTAACACATTAACACTCATTGTGTGTGTGATGTCACTCAGGATTGTAACACATTAACACTCATTGTGTGTGTGATGTCTGTCAGGATTGTAACACATTAACATTCATTCTGTGTGTGATGTCTGTCAGGATTGTAACACATTAACATTCATTCTGTGTGTGATGTCTGTCAGGATTGTAACACACTAACACTCATTCTGTGTGTGATGTCTGTCAGGATTGTAACACATTAACACTCATTGTGTGTGTGATGTCTGTCAGGATTGTAACACATTAACATTCATTCTGTGTGTGATGTCAGGATTGTAACACATTAACACTCATTCTGTGTGTGATGTCTGTCAGGATTGTAACACATTAACACTCATTCTGTGTGTGATGTCACTCAGGATTGTAATACATTAACACTCATTGTGTGTGTGATGTCACTCAGGATTGTAACACATTAACACTCATTGTGTGTGTGATGTCTGTCAGGATTGTAACACATTAACACTCATTGTGTGTGTGATGTCTGTCAGGATTGTAACACATTAACACTCATTCTGTGTGTGATGTCTGTCAGGATTGTAACACACTAACACTCATTCTGTGTGTGATGTCTGTCAGGATTGTAACACATTAACACTCATTCTGTTGGTGATGTCTGTCAGAATTGTAACACATTAACACTCATTCTGTTGGTGATGTCTGTCAGGATTGTAACACATTAACACTCATTCTGTGTGTGATGTCTGTCAGGATTGTAACACATTAACACTCATTGTGTGTGTGATGTCTGTCAGGATTGTAACACATTAACACTCATTCTGTGTGTGATGTCTGTCAGGATTGTAACACATTAACACTCATTGTGTGTGTGATGTCTGTCAGGATTGTAACACATTAACACTAATTCTGTGTGTGATGTCTGTCAGGATTGTAACACATTAACACTCATTCTGTTGGTGATGTCACCCAGGATTATAACACATTAACCCTCATTCTGTAGGTGATGTCTGTCAGGATTGTAACACATTAACCCTTATTCTGTGTGTGATGTCTGTCAGGATTGTAACACATTAACCCTCATTCTGTAGGTGATGTCTGTCAGGATTGTAACACATTAACCCTTATTCTGTGTGTGATGTCTGTCAGGATTGTAACACATTAACACTCATTCTGTTGGTGATGTCTGTCAGGATTATAACACATTAACCCTTATTCTGTGTGTGATGTCTGTCAGGATTGTAACACATTAACCCTCATTCTGTAGGTGATGTCTGTCAGGATTGTAACACATTAACATTCATTCTGTGTGTGATGTCTGTCAGGATTGTAACACACTAACACTCATTCTGTGTGTGATGTCAGGATTGTAACACATTAACACTCATTGTGTGTGTGATGTCTGTCAGGATTGTAACACATTAACACTCATTCTGTGTGTGATGTCTGTCAGGATTGTAACACATTAACACTCATTGTGTGTGTGATGTCTGTCAGGATTGTAACAGATTAACACTCATTCTGTGTGTGATGTCTGTCAGGATTGTAACACATTAACACTCATTCTGTGTGTGATATCTGTCAGGATTGTAGCACATTAACACTCATTCTGTGTGTGATGTCAGGATTGTAACACATTAACACTCATTCTGTGTGTGATGTCTGTCAGGATTGTAACACATTAACACTCATTCTGTTGGTGATGTCACCCAGGATTGTAATACATTAACACTCATTGTGTGTGTGATGTCACTCAGGATTGTAACACATTAACACTCATTGTGTGTGTGATGTCTGTCAGGATTGTAACACATTAACACTCATTCTGTGTGTGATGTCTGTCAGGATTGTAACACATTAACATTCATTCTGTGTGTGATGTCTGTCAGGATTGTAACACATTAACACTCATTCTGTTGGTGATGTCTGTCAGAATTGTAACACATTAACACTCATTCTGTTGGTGATGTCTGTCAGGATTGTAACACATTAACACTCATTCTGTGTGTGATGTCTGTCAGGATTGTAACACATTAACACTCATTGTGTGTGTGATGTCTGTCAGGATTGTAACACATTAACACTCATTCTGTGTGTGATGTCTGTCAGGATTGTAACACATTAACACTCATTGTGTGTGTGATGTCTGTCAGGATTGTAACACATTAACACTAATTCTGTGTGTGATGTCTGTCAGGATTGTAACACATTAACACTCATTCTGTTGGTGATGTCACCCAGGATTATAACACATTAACCCTCATTCTGTGGTGATGTCTGTCAGGATTGTAACACATTAACCCTTATTCTGTGTGTGATGTCTGTCAGGATTGTAACACATTAACCCTCATTCTGTAGGTGATGTCTGTCAGGATTGTAACACATTAACCCTTATTCTGTGTGTGATGTCTGTCAGGATTGTAACACATTAACACTCATTCTGTTGGTGATGTCTGTCAGGATTATAACACATTAACCCTTATTCTGTGTGTGATGTCTGTCAGGATTGTAACACATTAACCCTCATTCTGTAGGTGATGTCTGTCAGGATTGTAACACATTAACATTCATTCTGTGTGTGATGTCTGTCAGGATTGTAACACACTAACACTCATTCTGTGTGTGATGTCAGGATTGTAACACATTAACACTCATTGTGTGTGTGATGTCTGTCAGGATTGTAACACATTAACACTCATTCTGTGTGTGATGTCTGTCAGGATTGTAACACATTAACACTCATTGTGTGTGTGATGTCTGTCAGGATTGTAACAGATTAACACTCATTCTGTGTGTGATGTCTGTCAGGATTGTAACACATTAACACTCATTCTGTGTGTGATATCTGTCAGGATTGTAGCACATTAACACTCATTCTGTGTGTGATGTCAGGATTGTAACACATTAACACTCATTCTGTGTGTGATGTCTGTCAGGATTGTAACACATTAACACTCATTCTGTTGGTGATGTCACCCAGGATTGTAATACATTAACACTCATTGTGTGTGTGATGTCACTCAGGATTGTAACACATTAACACTCATTGTGTGTGTGATGTCTGTCAGGATTGTAACACATTAACACTCATTCTGTGTGTGATGTCTGTCAGGATTGTAACACATTAACATTCATTCTGTGTGTGATGTCTGTCAGGATTGTAACACATTAACACTCATTCTGTGTGTAATGTCTGTCAGGATTGTAACACACTAACACTCATTCTGTGTGTGATGTCTGTCAGGATTGTAACACATTAACACTCATTCTGTTGGTGATGTCTGTCAGAATTGTAACACATTAACACTCATTCTGTTGGTGATGTCTGTCAGGATTGTAACACATTAACACTCATTGTGTGTGTGATGTCTGTCAGGATTGTAACACATTAACACTCATTGTGTGTGTGATGTCTGTCAGGATTGTAACACATTAACACTCATTCTGTGTGTGATGTCTGTCAGGATTGTAACACATTAACACTCATTGTGTGTGTGATGTCTGTCAGGATTGTAACACATTAACACTCATTGTGTGTGTGATGTCTGTCAGGATTGTAACACATTAACACTCATTGTGTGTGTGATGTCTGTGTGTGATGTCAGGATTGTAACACATTAACACTCATTCTGTGTGTGATGTCTGTCAGGATTGTAACACATTAACACTCATTGTGTGTGTGATGTCTGTCAGGATTATAACACATTAACACTCATTGTGTGTGTGATGTCTGTCAGGATTGTAACACATTAACACTCATTCTGTGTGTGATGTCTGTCAGGATTGTAACACATTAACACTCATTGTGTGTGTGATGTCTGTCAGGATTGTAACACATTAACACTCATTCTGTGTGTGATGTCTGTCAGGATTGTAACACATTAACACTCATTCTGTGTGTGATGTCTGTCAGGATTGTAACACATTAACACTCATTCTGTGTGTGATGTCAGTCAGGATTGTAACACATTAACACTCATTCTGTGTGTGATGTCTGTCAGGATTGTAACACATTAACACTCATTCTGTGTGTGATGTCCGTCAGGATTGTAACACATTAACACTCATTGTGTGTGTGATGTCTGTCAGGATTGTAACACATTAACACTCATTCTGTGTGTGATGTCTGTCAGGATTGTAACACATTAACACTCATTGTGTGTGTGATGTCTGTCAGGATTATAACACATTAACACTCATTGTGTGTGTGATGTCTGTCAGGAATGTAACACATTAACACTCATTCTGTGTGTGATGTCTGTCAGGATTGTAACACATTAACACTCATTGTGTGTGTGATGTCTGTCAGGATTGAAACACATTAACACTCATTCTGTGTGTGATGTCTGTCAGGATTGTAACACATTAACACTCATTCTGTGTGTGATGTCTGTCAGGATTGTAACACATTAACACTCATTCTGTGTGTGATGGCTGTCAGGATTGTAACACATTAACACTCATTCTGTGTGTGATGTCCGTCAGGATTGTAACACATTAACACTCATTGTGTGTGTGATGTCTGTCAGGATTGTAACACATTAACACTCATTCTGTTGGAATTTGGAATATTAGAAAGTGTTACCAACGACTCTCTAGAAGTCCAAGATTTGGCGGCAAATTGATATTAGAACGAGCTCTACAAAGTCGTTGTATAAATAGCAGAGGGTTACTTTCTAGATCTGGGACTTATAGAGAAAAGGAGTTTTGGAAGAAGATTACTAGACGTGTTAGGATTGTCGATATAAGATTAGACAGATGTTTTCTTACGAGACATGTAAGGATTGTCGATATAAGGAGGTTAGAATGAGGATTACTTCCTAGACGTGCGAGTATTGTCGATATAAGGAAGTTAGAATGAGGATTACTTCCTAGACGTGTGAGTATTGTCGATATAAGGAGGTTAGAATGAGGATTACTTCCTAGACGTGCTAGTATTGTCGATATAAGGAGGTTAGAAAGAGGATTGCTAGACGTGTGAGGATTATCAATATAAGGAGGTTAGAAAGAGGATTACTTCCTCGAAGTGTGAGTATTGTCAATAGAAGGAGGTTAGAAAGAGGATAACTTCCTAGACGTGTGAGGATTGTCGATATAAGGAGGTCAGAAAAAGGATTGCTAGACGTGAGAGGATTGTCGATATAAGGAGGTTAGAAAGAGCATTACTTACTAGACGTGTGAGGATTGTCGATGGTTATGATATCCCTATTACAAAGAGGTGTTGTACAACATTTCACTTGTGTGGCTTGTCCACTAGCCTGTCTTGTTGACCGTCGTCCGATAGCTGATGTTCCGTAAGTTAAAGCGTTGCAAACCTGCCATACAAAATCGTTCCATTTTGGTTAGAATGCTTTTCATTGTTTCATATACGATTAGTATAGTCCACAGCTCTACAAAAAGAAACAGACGTGACAGCCCCTTAACAACAAAACAGTCGCATCAGCTCTATCAAACGAAATAGCCGCACCAGCTCTATCACAAGAAATCGCCGCACCAGCTCTATCACACGAAACAGCCGCACCAGCTCTATCAAATGAAACAGCCGCACTAGCGCTATCAAACAAAACAGCCGCATCAGCTCTATCACAAGAAATAGCCGCATCAGCTCTATCAAATGAAACAGCCGCATCAGCTCTATCACAAGAAATAGCCGCACTAGCTTTATCAAATGAAACAGCCGCATCAGCTCTATCACAAGAAATAGCCGCACGAGCTTTATCAAATGAAACAGCCGCATCAGCTCTATCACAAGAAATAGCCGCACCAGCTCTATCACAAGAAATAGCCGCATCAGCTCTATCACAAGAAATAGCCGCATCAGCTCTATCACAAGAAATAGCCGCACCAGCTCTATCACAAGAAATAGCCGCATCAGCTCTATCACAAGAAATAACCGCACTAGCTCTATCACAAGAAATAGCCGCACCAGCTTTATCAAATGAAACAGCCGCATCAGCTCTATCACAGGAAACAACCGCACCAGCTCTATCACAAGAAATAACCGCACTAGCTCTATCACAGAAAACAGCCGTACAAGCTCTATCAAACGAAATAGCCGCATCAGCTCTATCACAAGAAATCGCCGCACCAGCTCTATCAAAAGAAACAGCCGCATCAGCTCTATCACAGGAAATAACCGCACCAGCTCTATCACAAGAAATAGCCGCACCAGCTTTATCAAATGAAACAGCCGCACTAGCGCTATCAAACAAAACAGCCGCATCAGCTCTATCACAAGAAATAGCCGCATCAAATGAAACTCAGCTCTATCAAAGAAACAGCCGCATCAGCTCTATCACAAGAAATAGCCGCATCAGCTCTATCACAGGAAATAACCGCACCAGCTCTATCACAAGAAATAGCCGCACCAGCTTTATCAAATGAAACAGCCGCATCAGCTCTATCACAGGAAATAACCGCACCAGCTCTATCACAAGAAATAGCCGCATCAGCTCTATCAAATGAAATAGCAGCACCAGCTCTATCACAAGAAATAGCCCCACCAGCTCTATCAAACGAAATAGCCGCATCAGCTCTATCACAAGAAATCGCCGCACCAGCTCTATCAAAAGAAACAGCCGCATCAGCTCTATCACAGGAAATAACCGCACCAGCTCTATCACAAGAAATAGCCGCACCAGCTTTATCAAATGAAACAGCAGCACCAGCTCTATCACAAGAAACAGCCGCATCAACTCTATCAAATGAAATAGCCGCACCAGCTCTATCACAAGAAACAGCCGCATCAACTCTATCACAAGAAATAGCCGTACCAGCTCTATCAAATGAAACAGCCGCATCAGCTCTATCAAATGAAATAGCCGCACCAGCTCTATCACAAGAAACAGCCGCATCAACTCTATCAAAAGAAATAGCCGCATCAGCTCTATCACAAGAAATAGCCGCACCAGCTCTATCAAAAGAAATAGCCGCACCAGCTCTATCAAATGAAACAGCCGCATCAGCTCTATCAAATGAAACAGCCGCATCAGCTCTATCAAATGAAACAGCCGCACCAGCTCTATCACAAGAAATAGCAGCACCAGCTCCATCAAAAGAAATAGTCGCATCAGCTCTATCACAAGAAATAGCCGCACCAGCTCTATGTCATGAAACAGCAGCACCAGCTCTATCACAAGAAATAGCAGCACCAGCTCTATCAAAAGAAATAGTCGCATCAGCTCTATCACAAGAAATAGCCGCACTAGCTCTATCACAGAAAACAGCCGTACAAGCTCTATCAAAAGAAATAGCCGCATCAGCTCTATCACAAGAAATAGCCGCATCAGCTCTATCAAATGAAACAGCCGCATCAGCTCTATCAAATGAAACAGCCGCATCAGCTCTATCAAATGAAACAGCCCCATTAGCTCTATCAAAAGAAATAGCCGCACCAGCTCTATCAAATGAAACAGCCGCATCAGCTCTATCAAATGAAACAGCCGCATCAGCTCTATCACAAGAAATAGCCGCATCAGCTCTATCAAATGAAACAGCCGCATCAGCTCTATCACAAGCCGCATCAGCATCAGCTCTATCACAAGAAACAGCCGCATCAGCTCTATGACAAGAAATCGCCGCACCAGCTCTATCACAAGAAATAGCCGCATCAGCTCTATCACAAGAAACAGCCGCATCAGCTCTATCACAAGAAATCGCCGCACCAGCTCTATCACAAGAAATAGCCGCATCAGCTCTATCACAAGAAACAGCCGCATCAGCTCTATGACAAGAAATCGCCGCATCAGCTCTATCACAAGAAATAGCCGTACCAGCTCTATCACAAGAAATAGCCGCATCAGCTCTATCACAAGAAATAGCCGCACCAGCTCTATCACAAGAAACAGCCGCATCAACTCTATCAAAAGAAATAGCCGCACCAGCTCTATCACAAGAAATAGCCGCATCAGCTCTATCACAAGAAACAGCCGCATCAGCTCTATCACAAGAAATAGCCGCATCAGCTCTATCACAAGAAATAGCCGCATCAGCTCTATCACAAGAAACAGCCGCATCAGCTCTATCACAAGAAATAGCCGTACCAGCTCTATCACAGGAAACAGCCGCATCAGCTCTATCACAAGAAACAGCCGCATCAGCTCTATCACAAGAAATCGCCGCACCAGCTCTATCACAAGAAATAGCCGCATCAGCTCTATCACAAGAAATAGCCGCATCAGCTCTATCACAAGAAACAGCCGCATCAGCTCTATCACAAGAAATAGCCGCAAGCCGCATCAATCACAAGAAATAGCCGCACCAGCTCTATCACAAGAAATAGCCGCATCAGCTCTATCACAAGAAACAGCCGCATCAGCTCTATCACAAGAAATAGCAGCACCAGCTCTATCACAGGAAACAGCCGCATCAGCTCTATCACAAGAAATAGCAGCACCAGCTCTATCACAAGAAACAGCCGCATCAGCTCTATCAAATGAAATAGCCGCACCAGCTCTATCACAAGAAACAGCCGCATCAACTCTATCAAAAGAAATAGCCGCATCAGCTCTATCACAAGAAACAGCCGCATCAGCTCTATGACAAGAAATCGCCGCACCAGCTCTATCACAAGAAATAGCCGCATCAGCTCTATCACAAGAAATAGCCGCATCAGCTCTATCACAAGAAACAGCCACATCAGCTCTATGACAAGAAATCGCCGCATCAGCTCTATCACAAGAGATAGCCGCATCAGCTCTATCACAAGAAACAGCCGCATCAGCTCTATCACAAGAAATCGCATCAGCTCTATCACAAGAAATAGCAGCACCAGCTCTATCACAAGAAATAGCCGCATAAGCTCTATCAAAAGAAATAGCCGCATCAGCTCTATCACAAGAAATAGCAGCACCAGCTCTATCACAAGAAATAGCCGCATCAGCTCTATCAAAAGAAATAACCGCATCAGCTCTATCACAAGAAATAGCCGCATCAGCTCTATCAAACGAAATAGCCTTACTAGCTCTATCAAATGAAATAGACGTACTAGCTCTATCAAATGAAACAGCCCCATTAGCTCTATCAAAAGAAATAGCCGCACCAGCTCTATCAAACGCAATAGCCGTACTAGCTCTATCAAACGCAATAGCCTTACTAGCTCTATCAAATGAAACAACCTCATCAGCTCTATCACAAGAAATAGCAACAGCACCACTTAATAAAAAGGTCACACCAAGTGCGTTGAAATCATGCCATGTTTGAACAAATTAGATCATGACATTAACATTAGGATAATATATTTTTACGATCAACATTTATTCTCTAAATGACATTGACAAAAGAGTGGAAGCACCTAAATCAGGGTCGATTTTAGTAACGCACAGCAACACTTCTTAAAGTAATATGAGATTATGCACCTACACATACAAGCAGAGCTAGCTTACCACATGGAAAATATTATATACCATTGACCATGATATCTAGTTTTCGTCGACCAAGATATCTAATCATCATTGACCTAGATATCTGATTATCAATGACCTAGATATATAATCATCATTGACCTAGATATTTGATTATCATTGACCTAGATATTCAATTATCATTGACCTATATATCTAATCATCATTAACCTATATATCTAAATATCATTGACCTATATATCTAATCATCATTGACCTATATATCTACTCATCATTGACCTAGATATCTGATTATCATTGACCTAGATATTCAATTATCATTGACCTAGATATCTAATTATCATTGACCTAAATATTCAATTATCCTTGACCTAGATATGTAATTATCATTGACCTAAATATTCAGTATTTTTACTTACGAGAAGGCTCTGACAAGCCATGGATACTCTTGTTTCACCATCGATGATATAGGAAGCTTCTTCGCATGCCTAAAATATGGAAGACATAACATACAACTGGACAGAAATCGTGTTTATCAAAACGAAAATGTGGATTAAGGTCACATAAAGACATTGTTCGGGGGTCAATCATAGGTGTTTCAGATGGAAACCGTGTACAATCGGCCCATAAATATGTTGATGAACTATATTTATCAGAGAATTGAAATGTGATTCAACAGACAATATTCGTTCTACATGTATATGTGTTTGGACAGTTTCTATTCTCTACATGTATATGTGTTTGGACAGTTTCTATTCTCTACATGTAGATGTGTTTGGACAGTTTCTATTCTCTACATGTAGATGTGTTGGACAGTTTCTATTCTCTACATGTAGATGTGTTTGGACAGTATCCGTTCTCTACATGTAGATGTGTTTGGACAGTTTCTATTCTCTACATGTAGATGTGTTTGGACAGTTTCTATTCTCTACATGTAGATGTGTTTGGACAGTTTCTATTCTCTACATGTAGATGTGTTTGGACAGTTTCTATTCTCTACATGTAGATGTGTTTGGACAGTTTCTATTCTCTACATGTAGATGTGTTTGGACAGTTTCTATTCTCTACATGTAGATGTGTTTGGACAGTTTCTATTCTCTACATGTAGATGTGTTTGGACAGTTTCTATTCTCTACATGTAGATGTGTTTGGACAGTTTCTATTCTCTACATGTAGATGTGTTTGGACAGTTTCTATTCTCTACATGTAGATGTGTTTGGACAGTTTCTATTCTCTACATGTAGATGTGTTTGGACAGTTTCTATTCTCTACATGTAGATGTGTTTGGACAGTTTCTATTCTCTACATGTAGATGTGTTTGGACAGTTTCTATTCTCTACATGTAGATGTGTTTGGACAGTTTCTATTCTCTACATGTAGATGTGTTTGGACAGTTTCTATTCTCTACATGTACATGTGTTTGATGTGTTTAGATGTGTTTGGACAGTTTCTATTCTCTACATGTAGATGTGTTTGGACAGTTTCTATTCTCTACATGTAGATGTGTTTGGACAGTTTCTATTCTCTACATGTAGATGTGTTTGGACAGTTTCTATTCTCTACATGTAGATGTGTTTGGACAGTTTCTATTCTCTACATGTAGATGTGTTTGGACAGTTTCTATTCTCTACATGTAGATGTGTTTGGACAGTTTCTATTCTCTACATGTAGATGTGTTTGGACAGTTTCTATTCTCTACATGTAGATGTGTTTGGACAGTTTCTATTCTCTACATGTAGATGTGTTTGGACAGTTTCTATTCTCTACATGTAGATGTGTTTGGACAGTTTCTATTCTCTACATGTAGATGTGTTTGGACAGTTTCTATTCTCTACATGTAGATGTGTTTGGACAGTTTCTATTCTCTACATGTAGATGTGTTTGGACAGTTTCTATTCTCTACATGTAGATGTGTTTGGACAGTTTCTATTCTCTACATGTAGATGTGTTTGGACAGTTTCTATTCTCTACATGTAGATGTGTTTGGACAGTTTCTATTCTCTACATGTAGATGTGTTTGGACAGTTTCTATTCTCTACATGTAGATGTGTTTGGACAGTTTCTATTCTCTACATGTAGATGTGTTTGGACAGTTTCTATTCTCTACAAGTAGATGTGTTTGGACAGTACTCATTCTCTACAGGTAGATGTGTTTGGACAGTATTCATTCTCTACAGGTAGATGTGTTTGGACAGTTTCTATTCTCTACATGTAGATGTGTTTGGACAGTTTCTATTCTCTACATGTAGATGTGTTTGGACAGTTTCTATTCTCTACATGTAGATGTGTTTGGACAGTTTCTATTCTCTACATGTAGATGTGTTTGGACAGTTTCTATTCTCTACATGTAGATGTGTTTGGACAGTTTCTATTCTCTACATGTAGATGTGTTTGGACAGTTTCTATTCTCTACATGTAGATGTGTTTGGACAGTTTCTATTCTCTACATGTAGATGTGTTTGGACAGTTTCTATTCTCTACATGTAGATGTGTTTGGACAGTTTCTATTCTCTACATGTAGATGTGTTTGGACAGTTTCTATTCTCTACATGTAGATGTGTTTGGACAGTTTCTATTCTCTACATGTAGATGTGTTTGGACAGTTTCTATTCTCTACATGTAGATGTGTTTGGACAGTTTCTATTCTCTACATGTAGATGTGTTTGGACAGTTTCTATTCTCTACATGTAGATGTGTTTGGACAGTTTCTATTCTCTACATGTAGATGTGTTTGGACAGTTTCTATTCTCTACATGTAGATGTGTTTGGACAGATTCTATTCTCTACATGTAGATGTGTTTGGACAGTTTCTATTCTCTACATGTAGATGTGTTTGGACAGTTTCTATTCTCTACATGTAGATGTGTTTGGACAGTTTCTATTCTCTACATGTAGATGTGTTTGGACAGTATTCATTCTCTACATGTAGATGTGTTTGGACAGTTTCTATTCTCTACATGTAGATGTGTTTGGACAGTTTCTATTCTCTACATGTAGATGTGTTTGGACAGTTTCTATTCTCTACATGTAGATGTGTTTGGACAGTTTCTATTCTCTACATGTAGATGTGTTTGGACAGTTTCTATTCTCTACATGTAGATGTGTTTGGACAGTTTCTATTCTCTACATGTAGATGTGTTTGGACAGTTTCTATTCTCTACATGTAGATGTGTTTGGACAGTTTCTATTCTCTACATGTAGATGTGTTTGGACAGTTTCTATTCTCTACATGTAGATGTGTTTGGACAGTTTCTATTCTCTACATGTAGATGTGTTTGGACAGTTTCTATTCTCTACATGTAGATGTGTTTGGACAGTTTCTATTCTCTACATGTAGATGTGTTTGGACAGTTTCTATTCTCTACATGTAGATGTGTTTGGACAGTTTCTATTCTCTACATGTAGATGTGTTTGGACAGTTTCTATTCTCTATTCTCTACATGTAGATGTGTTTGGACAGTTTCTATTCTCTACATGTAGATGTGTTTGGACAGTTTCTATTCTCTACATGTAGATGTGTTTGGACAGTTTCTATTCTCTACATGTAGATGTGTTTGGACAGTTTCTATTCTCTACATGTAGATGTGTTTGGACAGGTTCTATTCTCTACATGTAGATGTGTTTGGACAGTTTCTATTCTCTACATGTAGATGTGTTTGGACAGTTTCTATTCTCTACATGTAGATGTGTTTGGACAGTGTGTGTTTGGACAGTTTCTATTCTCTACATGTAGATGTGTTTGGACAGTTTCTATTCTCTACATGTAGATGTGTTTGGACAGTTTCTATTCTCTACATGTAGATGTGTTTGGACAGTTTCTATTCTCTACATGTAGATGTGTTTGGACAGTTTCTATTCTCTACATGTAGATGTGTTTGGACAGTTTCTATTCTCTACATGTAGATGTGTTTGGACAGTTTCTATTCTCTACATGTAGATGTGTTTGGACAGTTTCTATTCTCTACATGTAGATGTGTTTGGACAGTTTCTATTCTCTACATGTAGATGTGTTTGGACAGTTTCTATTCTCTACATGTAGATGTGTTTGGACAGTTTCTATTCTCTACATGTAGATGTGTTTGGACAGTTTATTTGTGTTTGGACAGTTTCTATTCTCTACATGTAGATGTGTTTGGACAGTTTCTATTCTCTACATGTAGATGTGTTTGGACAGTTTCTATTCTCTACATGTAGATGTGTTTGGACAGTTTCTATTCTCTACATGTAGATGTGTTTGGACAGTTTCTATTCTCTACATGTAGATGTGTTTGGACAGTTTCTATTCTCTACATGTAGATGTGTTTGGACAGTTTCTATTCTCTACATGTAGATGTGTTTGGACAGTTTCTATTCTCTACATGTAGATGTGTTTGGACAGTTTCTATTCTCTACATGTAGATGTGTTTGGACAGTTTCTATTCTCTACATGTAGATGTGTTTGGACAGTTTCTATTCTCTACATGTAGATGTGTTTGGACAGTTTCTATTCTCTACATGTAGATGTGTTTGGACAGTTTCTATTCTCTACATGTAGATGTGTTTGGACAGTATTCATTCTCTACATGTAGATGTGTTTGGACAGTTTCTATTCTCTACATGTAGATGTGTTTGGACAGTTTCTATTCTCTACATGTAGATGTGTTTGGACAGTTTCTATTCTCTACATGTAGATGTGTTTGGACAGTTTCTATTCTCTACATGTAGATGTGTTTGGACAGTTTCTATTCTCTACATGTAGATGTGTTTGGACAGTTTCTATTCTCTACATGTAGATGTGTTTGGACAGTTTCTATTCTCTACATGTAGATGTGTTTGGACAGTTTCTATTCTCTACATGTAGATGTGTTTGGACAGTTTCTATTCTCTACATGTAGATGTGTTTGGACAGTTTCTATTCTCTACATGTAGATGTGTTTGGACAGTTTCTATTCTCTACATGTAGATGTGTTTGGACAGTTTCTATTCTCTACATGTAGATGTGTTTGGACAGTACTCATTCTCTACATGTAGATGTGTTTGGACCGTTTCTATTCTCTACATGTAGATGTGTTTGGACAGTTTCTATTCTCTACATGTAGATGTGTTTGGACAGTTTCTATTCTCTACATGTAGATGTGTTTGGACAGTTCTATTCTCTACATGTAGATGTGTTTGGACAGTTTCTATTCTAGTAGATGTGTTTGGACTATTCTCTACATGTAGATGTGTTTGGACAGTTTCTATTCTCTACATGTAGATGTGTTTGGACAGTTTCTATTCTCTACATGTAGATGTGTTTGGACAGTTTCTATTCTCTACATGTAGATGTGTTTGGACAGTTTCTATTCTCTACATGTAGATGTGTTTGGACAGTTTCTATTCTCTACATGTAGATGTGTTTGGACAGTTTCTATTCTCTACATGTAGATGTGTTTGGACAGTTTCTATTCTCTACATGTAGATGTGTTTGGACAGTTTCTATTCTCTACATGTAGATGTGTTTGGACAGTTTCTATTCTCTACATGTAGATGTGTTTGGACAGTTTCTATTCTCTACATGTAGATGTGTTTGGACAGTTTCTATTCTCTACATGTAGATGTGTTTGGACAGTATCCGTTCTACATGTAGATGTGTTTGGACAGTTTCTATTCTCTACATGTAGATGTGTTTGGACAGTTTCTATTCTCTACATGTAGATGTGTTTGGACAGTTTCTATTCTCTACATGTAGATGTGTTTGGACAGTATCTATTCTCTACATGTAGATGTGTTGGACAGGTTCTATTCTCTACATGTAGATGTGTTTGGACAGTTTCTATTCTCTACATGTAGATGTGTTTGGACAGTTTCTATTCTCTACATGTAGATGTGTTTGGACAGTTTCTATTCTCTACATGTAGATGTGTTTGGACAGTTTCTATTCTCTACATGTAGATGTGTTTGGACAGTTTCTATTCTCTACATGTAGATGTGTTTGGACAGTTTCTATTCTCTACATGTAGATGTGTTTGGACAGTTTCTATTCTCTACATGTAGATGTGTTTGGACAGTTTCTATTCTCTACATGTAGATGTGTTTGGACAGTACATGTAGATGTGTTTGGACAGTTTCTATTCTCTACATGTAGATGTGTTTGGACAGTTTCTATTCTCTACATGTAGATGTGTTTGGACAGTTTCTATTCTCTACATGTAGATGTGTTTGGACAGTTTCTATTCTCTACATGTAGATGTGTTTGGACAGTTTCTATTCTCTACATGTAGATGTGTTTGGACAGTTTCTATTCTCTACATGTAGATGTGTTTGGACAGTTTCTATTCTCTACATGTAGATGTGTTTGGACAGTTTCTATTAGATGTGTTTGGACAGTTTCTATTCTCTACATGTAGATGTGTTTGGACAGTTTCTATTCTCTACATGTAGATGTGTTTGGACAGTTTCTATTCTCTACAAGAAGATGTGTTTGGACAGTTTCTATTCTTTACATTTAGATGTGTTTGGACAGTTTCTATTCTCTACAGGTAGATGTGTTTGGACAGTTTCTATTCTCTACATGTAGATGTGTTTGGACAGTTTCTATTCTCTACATGTAGATGTGTTTGGACAGTTTCTATTCTCTACATGTAGATGTGTTTGGACAGTTTCTATTCTCTACATGTAGATGTGTTTGGACAGTTTCTATTCTCTACATGTAGATGTGTTTGGACAGATTCTATTCTCTACATGTAGATGTGTTGGACAGTTTCTATTCTCTACATGTAGATGTGTTTGGACAGGTTCTATTATCTACAGGTAGATGTGTTTGGACAGTTTCTATTCTCTACATGTAGATGTGTTTGGACAGTTTCTATTCTCTACATGTAGATGTGTTAAATGGTCTTTTTTATTCACTACAATTGATTATATAAAATATTACTGTTTACCACCTACAGTCGCTTTACTGTGATCGACACCATTATGTGTTATCGAAGAATTTATATTTCAATAGCTATTGTTAAACATTATGTTTTGATTCGCAAACGAGCCCCGCCCTTCTCCTCCTCCACCTTTATTACCTCGCCCACAGCGCACTGCTGAGTTTCCTTACAAGTACTTGGATCAGTGAGTCCGTCACAGTGGTAGCACTCGAGGCCATGATCTACAACAATGTTTATTTTTAAACACAATTCTCAGAAAAAATATTTATCAATTAAACACGAGTTTGATGAAATAACAGATATTCTGTGCAGTGAAGATGTACTAGACAAACTTTTCCATTAATACATGCTGAAGCGAAAGTGAAATAATGCTATTTCCGGAACTCTTTTGTGTGCCCAAATAGGCGTCCCTGTCATAAGTAAATTTTTTTTCTAGAGGAGCTACTCGTTGGAAACAGGTCAATATTTACACTCTGACATTTTTTCACATTATCATTTCCATGTTGATATTTCGAAACGTAGTAAATAGGAAAATTAATTGGTTTGTTAAAATATGTTGTTTGGACTGTAGATACATTTCATGAATAACCAAACATTCCACCGTGAGTTGTTGGATATTCTGAAGTGTAATAGCGTACACTGATATTTACTTGTTTATCGCTGTCGTAATCGTGCAATGGATGGGACTTTTCAAGATGGCGGACCAACGTAACACCGGAACGTAAGCTCTGCTTTCAAACGGTAGTATCCATAATTTATATACTCACTATGATGATCATGACACATATTGTATCTGATTCGCAAATAGAGCTAATATTGTTGTACGTATCTATCTGGATGACGATAGACTTAAAATGTAGTGCAATCTGCGTGTAAACCTCGCCAACATGCCGATCTGTCGGATCCAAGCGGGTGTGGGCTTAACTTTTGGCCCTAGCTAAAAAAAAATAGTCGGAGTCAGAGTTTTAATGTTAAATTGAAGATTAGATAAGCCTCTTATCGAATGACAATCTTTTGTGACGGAATCGGAAGCTTAACTGGAGAATAAAACACAGGAAATTTTGACCATGCGATGGCTCAGTCCTTAGTAACATGATCACAAAATGCACCGAGACCGAGCCTTCGCATAGTCGAAACTTCCTTCGTTTTTTTTTTCTTAAATCACGCTTCCCATTCCTTCACAGAAGATTGTCGTTCGATCAGAGGCTTATCAAATCTTCAGCTTGAAATTAAAAGTCTGACTGGATTTATTCAGTTTTTTTAGCTACCGCACACCCGCTTGGATCCAACAGATCGGCATGTTGACGAGTTTTAACTGCAGATTGCACTACATTTTAAGTCTATCATCATCCAGATAGATACGTACAACAATATTAGCTCTATTTGCGAATCAGATACAATATGTGTCATGATCAAAGTGAGTATATAAATTATGGATGTTACCGTTTGAAAGCAGAGCTTACGTTCCGGTGTCACGTTGGTCCGCCATCTTGAAAAGTTCTCTCCATTGCACGATCACGACAGTGTTTATGCTTACTTCTACACACGATGGCTACATCTTTCTCGTGTGTGCACGAGTTAGATCCCCATTGTCCGTGAATGCAGAGGTCCAGTGATGGTTCACTTCCGTTACAATTCACATTACTTAGCCAGATATCTCCAGTTCCGGGACCAAAGGCGGGTGATCCTTGGACCACTGGCGAGTCACTGGAAAATATTAATATAAATAAACTTACGTATATTGTCGTTTATCACCTGGATATTCTTTGTTTGTTATGGTTTATCTCCCTTGTATTCTATCACACCCGGCGATAGTGTATCTCCCTTGTATTCTATCACGCCAGTCGATAGTTTATCTCCTTTGTATTCTATCACACCAGGCGATAGCTTATCTCCCTTGTATTCTATCACACCCGGCGATAGTTTATCTCCCTTGTATTCTATCACGCCAGTCGATAGTTTATCTCCTTTGTATTCTATCACACCAGGCGATAGTTTATCTCCCTTGTATTCTATCACACCCGGCGATAGTGTATCTTCCATGTTTTCTATCACACTCGGCGATAGTTTATCTCCCTTGTTTTCTATCAAGTCAGGCGATAGTTTATCTCCCTTGTATTCTATCACACCAGGCGATAGTTTATCTCCCTTGTATTCTATCACACTCGGCGATAGTTTATCTCCCTTGTTTTCTATCAAGCCAGGCGATAGTTTATCTCCCTTGTATTCTATCACACCCGGCGATAGTTTATCTCCCTTGTATTCTATCACACTTGGCGATAGTTTATCTCCCTTGTATTCTATCACACCCGGCGATAGTTTATCTCCCTTGTATTCTATCACACCAGGCAATAGTTTATCGCCCTTGTATTCTATCACACCAGGCGATAGTTTATCTCCCTTGTATTCTATCACACCCGGCGATAGTTTATCTCCCTTGTATTCTATCACACCCGGCGATAGTTTATCTCCCTTGTATTCTATCACACCCGGCGATAGTTTATCTCCCTTGTATTCTATCACACTAGGCGATCGTTTATCTCCCTTGTATTCTATCACACTTGGCGATAGTTTATCTCCCTTGTATTCTATCACACCCGGCGATAGTTTATCTCCCTTGTATTCTATCACACCAGGCGATAGTTTATCTCCCTTGTATTCTATCACACCAGGCGATAGTTTATCTCCCTTGTATTCTATCACACCCGGCGATAGTTTATCTCCCTTGTATTCTATCACGGCAGTCGATAGTTTATCTACCTTGTATTCTATCACACCCGGCGATAGTTTATCTCCCTTGTATTCTATCACACCCGGCGATAGTTTATCACCCTTGTATTCTATCACACTAGGCGATAGTTTATCTCCCTTTTATTCTATCACACTCGGCGATAGTTTATCTCCCTTGTATTCTATCACACTTGGCGATAGTTTATCTCCCTTGTATTCTATCACACTTGGCGATAGTTTATCTCCCTTGTATTCTATCACACTAGGCGATAGTTTATCTCCCTTGTATTCTATCACACCCGGCGATCGTTTATCTCCCTTGTATTCTATCACACTTGGCGATAGTTTATCTCCCTTGTTTTCTATCAAGCCAGGCGATAGTTTATCTCCCTTGTATTCTATCACACCCGGCGATAGTTTATCTCCCTTGTATTCTATCACACCCGGCGATAGTTTATCTCCCTTGTATTCTATCACACCAGGCGATAGTTTATCTCCCTTGTATTCTATCACACTTGGCGATAGTTTATCTCCCTTGTATTCTATCACACTTGGCGATAGTTTATCTCCCTTGTATTCTATCACACCAGGCGATAGTTTATCTCCCTTGTATTCTATCACACCAGGCGATAGTTTATCTCCCTTGTATTCTATCACACCAGGCGATAGTTTATCTCCCTTGTATTCTATCACACCAGGCGATAGATTATCTCCCTTGTATTCTATCACACCCGGCAATAGTTTATCTCCCTTGTATTCTATCACACCAGGCGATAGTTTATCTCCCTTGTATTCTATCACACCCGGCGATAGTTTATCTCCCTTGTATTCTATCACACCCGGCGATAGTTTATCTCCCTTGTATTCTATCACACCCGGCGATAGTTTATCTCCCTTGTATTCTATCACACCAGGCGATAGATTATCTCCCTTGTATTCTATCACACCCGGCAATAGTTTTTCTCCCTTGTATTCTATCACACCCGGCGATAGTTTATCTCCCTTGTATTCTATCACACCCGGCGATAGTTTATCTACCTTGTATTCTATCACACCAGGCGATAGTTTATCTCCCTTGTATTCTATCACACCCGGCGATAGTTTATCTCCCTTGTATTCTATCACACCCGGCGATAGTTTATCTCCCTTGTATTCTATCACACTTGGCGATAGTTTATCTCCCTTGTATTCTATCACACCCGGCGAAAGTTTATCTCCCTTGTATTCTATCACACTTGGCGATAGTTTATCTCCCTTGTATTCTATCACACCCGGCGATAGTTTATCTCCCTTGTATTCTATCACACCAGGCGATAGTTTATCTCCCTTGTATTCTATCACACCAGCAGTTAATACATATTTATGTGTTTTTATTCTATGGCATCCTACAGTTTATATAAAACACTATTGATATTATTACACTCATTACTCTTAACATGCATTCACGTAGTTTGGGGGTTTACCCTTTTTGTGTCATATACCATTTTGGTTTTACCTTGGAAATCCTAATGCGTTGCACACAACCTTGGCGTCAGTCACACCGAATCCATCGCTGCACACAGAGCCCCATCGATTGTTGTGAAACACTTCCAGACGTCCCTCGAATGGTCCTACTCCACCAACCAATCGTAGCGGGCTTTCATTCGTTCCTAGACATTTTATTGTTAGTATCAAGCATCAAAAAGAATTGCGTCCAAAGATAGGGGTCAATGATAGGTAAGAAAAATATAAACGAAAAAAGCAAAATGTTTCAAGCAAAATCGTTTTTTACACATCATAGAAAAATAGTTCCGAGAAAAGCATAGTTATGTAACCGGTATACCAATAAAATATGTAAATTTGTTGTTTAATGGATTCATGGTGATTTATGTTAATTGTTTTAGTAGGTTAATGTTGACGCATGCTTATTATTTTAATGAATTCATTTGATTCATTCTAATTTATTTCTAATGCATGCATGTGACTAATTCTGATTGGTTTTTAATGTCTTCAAGTGACTCATTATAATTCGTATTTAATGCATGCCTGTGACTCATTCTAAATGGTTTTTATGCATTCCTGGTGACGCATGCTTATTGTGTAAATGCATTTAAGTGACTCATTCTAATTGTATTTTAATACATGTCTGTTGGTCCATGCTTGTTGTATTAACGGGTTCATGGTGACTCCTGTATTTTTTAATGGATTCAACACAATAGAACAGCCGACATTTCCAAGACAGTCCATACGCTGATTCATACAACACATAACTCTATACTACCTTGGTATTAATAGTCTTTATCAAGGAGGGTAAACTCTGCAATCACAACGTGGCGGAATTCATTGAGGATCATTTGTGCTGTTGCACATAACACCTTATTTCTATGACAAAAATTATAATGTAAAAATATACTTATTGTGAACCATCAAATTGAATCAGGACTGTCATTTCCCACATGCTTAATAAATCAGCGTCTAATTGTGACGTCAGTCAACGAATGTTGTGACATCATTTCATATGTATTGTTCCATTACCTCCACATCGTACTCCTACATCTTCAGTATGATCGCAGTTATTGGTGCCATACGGGTTATGGCGACATGCGTCGAGAGTGTTTTCCAATCCAGTGCAGTGCACGTTGTCAAGCCATATTCTACCGATTCCTTCTCCGAAGAATCCTCCATTCACAGACTCGGCTTCACCTCTTTAACAGGAAATCAAACCTCAGGAAAAAGTACCTTCCTGTTTATATATCGTTATCTACAAGGCATTTATACCTGTCCCGACTGGGGCAAGAATGAAGGCAGAGACTAGATGAGACTGGGAGAAATGCTTCACGGAAAATGATCACAATATTAACGACGGCACGGCTAGAATGAGGAATATGACAAAGACAGGATAAGGTATGGGGAGAAAAATGGAATGAGGACAAAGTTAGAATGGGAACAGACCAGAATGGGTACGCTGAAAAGGATTGGATGTGGAAAGTAGAAAGGTTCGAATGGGGACGGTGACAAGGATGGGATGCGGAAAGGAGAAAGGTCCGAATGGGGACGGTGACAAGGATTGGATGTGGAAAGGAGAAAGGTTAGAATGGGGACGGTGACAAGGATGGGATGTGGAAAGGAGAAAGGTCCGAATGGGGACGGTGATAAGGATGGGATGTGGAAAGGAGAAATATCAGAATGGGGACGGTGATAAGGATGGGATGTGGAAAGGAGAAAGGTCAGAATGGGGACGGTGACAGGGATGGGATGTGGAAAGGAGAAAGGTCCGAATGGGGACGGTGACAAGGATGGGATGTGGAAAGTAGAAAGGTCAGAATACGGACGGTGACAAGGATGGGATGTGGAAAGGAGAAAGGTCAGAATGGAGACAGTGACAAAGATGGGATGTAGAAAGTAGAAAGGTCCGAATGGGGACGGTGATAAGGTAGGGATGTGGAAAGGAGAAAGGTCAGAATGGGGACGGTGATAAGGATGGGATGTGGAAAGGAGAAAGGTCTGAATGGGGACGGTGACAAGGATGGGATGTGGAAAGGAGAAAGGTCAGAATGGGGACGGTGATAAGGATGGGATGTGGAAAGGAGAAAGATCAGAATGGGGACGGTGACAAGGATGGGATGTGGAAAGGAGAAAGGTCAGAATGGGGACGGTGACAGGGATGGGATGTGGAAAGGAGAAAGGTCAGAATGGGGACGGTGATAAGGATGGGATGTGGAAAGTAGAAAGGTCAGAATGGGGACGGTGACAAGGATTGGATGTGGAAAGGAGAAAGGCCAGAATGGGGACGGTGACAAGGATGGGATGTGGAAAGGAGAAAGGTCAGAATGATGACGGTGACAAGGTTGGGATGTGGAAAGGAAAAAGGTCAGAATGGGGATGGTGACAAGGATGGGATGTAGAAAGGAGAAAGGCCAGAATGGGGACGGTGACAAGGATTGGATGTGGAAAGAAGAAAGGCCAGAATGCGGACGGTGACAAGGATGGGATGTGGAAAGGAGAAAGGTCAGAATGGGGACGGTGACAAGGATGGGATGTGGAAAGCTAAGAATGGGGACGTTGACTAGAATTGAATGTGGAAAGTAGAAAGGTCAGAATGGGGACGGTGACAAGGATGGGATGTGGAAAGGAGAAAGGTCAGAATGGGGACGGTTACAAGGATTGGGTGTGGAAAGGAGAATGGTCCGAATAGGGACGGTGACAAAGATTGGATGTGGAAAGTAGAAAGGTCCGAATGGGGACGGTGACAAGGATTGGATGTTGAAAGTAGAAAGGCCAGAATGGGGACGGTGACAAGGATTGGATGTGGAAAGGAGAAAGGTCCGAATGGGGAGGTGACAAGGATTGGATGTGGAAAGGAGAAAGGTCCGAATGGGGACGGTGACAAGTATTGGATGTGAAAAGGAGAAAGGTCAGAATGGGGACGCTGAAAAGGATTGGATGTGGAAAGGAGAAAGGTCAGAATGGGGACGGTGACAAGGATTGGATGTGGAAAGGAGAAAGGTCAGAATGGGGACGGTGACAAGGATTGGATGTGGAAAGGAGAAAGGTCAGAATGGGGAGGTGACACAAGGTTAGAATTGGGACAATTAAACGTACGTGACGAGGGCAGGGCAAGGTTCTAATGGAGACAATGACTTGGATATGATGAGGACATTGGCAATGATATAGTTATGACAATGGCAACGTTTGAGTAAGGAAAGTGACAATCTCAGAATATAGACAATGTGGTGAGTTTAAGTGGGTTTAGTACTTACGTAGGGTAGCCTAACATTCTGCATACAGTTTTCGCTTCCTCTGCCCCGAAATAATCGTCGCATACCGTTCCCCACTGATTGTGATAGAAAACTTCCAGACGGCCTTCGGTCGCCGATTTTCCATTCACTAGTCTGACAGTCAGATTCTGGTTACCTGGTGTGATAAATAAGGTTTGTATTTGAGTGGTCAATATGATCACTCTGCATGTAAAAACAGTAATGGTTAAGAAATTATTTTGTACTTGCGTCTCACTTTTGTTCTATTGCTTTATTAAATACTCATTAAATCCTTTACACAAATCCATAAATACTTGACGGCGTATTTTTTGTAATTCTAAAGAAACGAAATTATCATATTAAGAAAGTAAAAACACGCGTTTAATCGCCCGCCGACACTGATATTGACGAAGAATCGACTGTTGTTTCTTTTAACAAAGTTGGCATGATGCCAATATTGATAAATAGAGGATTCACAACGAGCCGTTGTTGCATATGATATGTTTGTCACTCGATTTAGATATTTTTCTTTCAACTCAGTGAGTGTTTTGGTAAAGAAATACCAAATACTACAATCACGATTTTGTGACCAAATTCTACCAAAATGAAAAAAAAAATATTTCGAAGTTGAATATACCCACGTGTTTTGCTGGGATGTAATGCTATAACCTTTAGTGAAATGCAAAACTGTCAGATATACATGGAAAAAGTTTTCATATTCAAAGAAAAGAGTGTGAAATCCAAATAAAAACAAAATGTATTACAAACACAATTGTGAACTGCGATTTCATCACTGGTCATACTATCGGTCATCAAAACAGACTAAAACGTGCAACATGTGATATAACAATGACGTCATCGGACGGAGCGATGACACGTTGAAGGTCTTACAGATAACCATGACGTCAACAAACAGAGTGATGACACGTTAACGGTGTTACAGATAACTATGACGTCATTAAACAGAGTGATGACACGTTAACGGTGTTTCAGATAATACTGACGTCATCAAACACAGAGATGGCAACTTACCGGCGTTACAAACGACACCGGCATCCTCACTGTGATCACAATCGTTGTTTCCGAAGCCGTCAAATCGACAGAGTCCAATATTGTTCTCTCGTCCACTGCAGGCAAGCTCATCCATCTGAATAGTTCCACTTCCCTCACCGAAAAATGCATCCCCTAGGGCAAGGGCTGTTCCACTGTAAAAAATGCAATTAAATACACAATGTGCAAGTTCCACACGTATTTAGATAGGATTGAATGTACCTCTATATAATGGTCAATGATTAAGAAAACAAACCCTATTCACCAACAGCACCCTTACAATAAAGTCATCCAAACCATTATCTTTTACAGAAATGGTCCATAACTCAAGCTATTGTTTTCGCGGCCATTGCTACCTCATTGTAACTACGCAGATCGGGACAATATGAAGTCGAGTTTTTGAAAGTAAGTAAACACAAAAAGAAATTTTAACGTAAATTTCACAATTTCATATTCACAAAACGAATATTACTTTTCAAGAATTACGGTTATAATGTCTGAAATTTCTTTGTTGGTTTTGGATTGACACAGGTGTATGCATTGGATGTCGTCAAAGGGAAGGCAGTACTTACACGTACCAAAAACATCATTATATTTGTACATTTTTCATTTTTATATATTGTAAATATTTTTTTCGTTCATTTCTTGCCCTCATTTAATCGAGTATGAGTTGGAATTCTATAGCGATGTCGTAATTTGGTTTGTTGTTTTTATATTACCTTAATAAAAGGTTATTTTTAAAAAAATCTTACGCCATGTGAGGTTTCACATGGTTTTGTACACCGTCGTATGCTGTTGAATAATTTACTAACTAAACATTGTACAACATGTCACAAATCAGCCTAGAATTCACTCCAAGCTATTGTAAAAATACTGCCAAAGACTTAATGTCTACGAGGTAACTGCCACTAAAGAGATTCTACCAGCAATAGGGTGACAGCTAATCATGGGATTAAAAGTCCACAAGTTTCATGGTTACAGCCATACTCCGGGCTGTAATAATTAGATACAAGATAACAGTCAACCTCGGAAACAGACGGTCCATCAGCTACAAGATAACAGTCAACCTCGGAAACAGATGGTCCATCAGTTACAACGTTACAGTCAACCTCGGAAACAGATGGTCCACCAGCTACAAGGTAACAGTCAACATCGGAAACAGATGGTCCATCAGCTACAAGGTTACAGTCAACATCGGAAACAGATGGTCCATCAGCTACAAGATAACAGTCAACCTCGAAAACAGACAGTCCATCAGTTACAAAGTAACAGTCAACCTCGAAAACAGATGGTCCATCAGTTACAAGGTGACAGTCAACCTCGGATACAGACGGTCCATCAGCTACAAGGTGACAGTCAACCTCGGATACAGACGGTCCATCAGCTACAAGGTTACAGTCAACCTCGGAAACAGACGGTCCATCAGCTACAAGGTTACAGTCAACATCGGAAACAGATGGTCCATCAGCTACAAGATAACAGTCAACCTCGGATACAGACGGTCCATCATCTACAAGGTTACAGTCAACCTCGGAAACAGACGGTCCATCAGCTACAAGGTTACAGTCAACATCGGAAACAGATGGTATATCAGTTACAAGGTAACAGTCAACCTCGGAAATAGATGGTCCATCAGTTACAACGTTACATTCAACCTCGGAAACAGACGGTCCATCATCTACAAGGTTACAGTCAACATCGGGAACAAATGGTCCATCAGCTGCAAGATAACAGTCAACCTCGGAAACAGACGGTCCATCAGCTACAAGGTTACAGTCAACATCGGGAACAAATGGTCCATCAGCTGCAAGATAACAGTCAACCTCGTAAACAGACGGTCCATCAGTTACAACGTTACAGTCAACCTCGGAAACAGATGGTCCATCAGCTACAAGGTAACAGTCAACATCGGAAACAGATGGTCCATCAGTTACAACGTTACAGTCAACATCGGAAACAGATGGTCCATCAGCTACAAGGTTACAGTCAACATCGGAAACAGATGGTCCATCACCTACAAAGTAACAGTCAACCTCGGAAACATATGGTCAATTAGCTACAAGGTAACAGTCAACCTCGAAAACAGACAGTCCATCAGTTACAAAGTAACAGTCAACCTCGAAAACAGATGGTCCATCAATTACAAGGTGACAGTCAACCTCGGATACAGACGGTCCATCAGCTACAAGGTGACAGTCAACCTCGGATACAGACGGTCCATCAGCTACAAGGTTACAGTCAACCTCGGAAACAGACGGTCCATCAGCTACAAGGTTACAGTCAACATCGGAAACAGATGGTCCATCAGCTACAAGATAACAGTCAACCTCGGATACAGACGGTCCATCATCTACAAGGTTACAGTCAACATCGGAAACAGATGGTCTATCAGTTACAAGGTAACAGTCAACCTCGGAAATAGATGGTCCATCAGTTACAAGGTGTCAGTCAACCTCGTAAACAGACGGTCCATCAGTTACACAGTAACAGTCAACATCGGAAACAGACGGTCCATCAGTTACAAGGTAACAGTCAACCTCGGGAACAGATGGTCCATCAGTTACAACGTTACAGTCAACCTCGGAAACAGACGGTCCATTAGTTACAAGGTGACAGTCAACCCCGGAAACAGATGGTCCATCAGTTACAAAGTAACAGTCAACCTCGGAAACAGATGGTCTATTAGTTACAAGGAAACAGTCTACCTCGGAAGCAGATGGTCCATCAGCTACAAAGTAACAGCCAACATCGGAAACAGATGGTCTATCAGTTACAAGGTGACAGTCAACCTCGGAATCCGATGGTCCATCAGCTACAAGGTGACAGTCAACCTCGGAATCCGATGGTCCATCAGCTACAAGGTGACAGTCAACCTCGGAAACAGATGGTCCATCAGCTACAAGGTTACAGTCAACCTCGGAAACAGACGGTCCATCAACTACAAAGTAACAGTCAACCTCGGAAACATATGGTCAATTAGCTACAAGGTAACAGTCAACCTCGGAAACAGGCGGTCCATCAGCTACAAGGTTACAGTCAACCTCGGAAACATATGGTCAATTAGCTACAAGGTAACAGGCAACCTATAGTATATCAAGAGTTTTATTAACCTTGGGTCAGGACAGTCTACTTGTTTCAAAATTAGTGTCAACCTCGGAAACAAATAGCCGGCTCGTCAGAAATATTAAGTCCTTTATCTTGTTAAACAAAATGTGAGGATAGAAGAGACTGCTTGAAACATCATGCTATTGTTCCGAATGTCTCTTTTGATACTATAAAGTTTCCTTTTTTTCCTAGTCCCGCTGCGTTTCGTCAAACATTTACCGAGAAGATCGTCATACGCTATGAAGGTATCCAATTACAATTCTCAGTATACTAACTTGAATCCCAGCATGCGACAGATAACTTTGGCCTCTCGATCGTCGAACTCGTCGTCACAAACAGTACCCCATCTATTGTTGTGAAACACTTCAACGCGCCCCTCTTCGTTGTTGGCGCCGTTCACTAGACGGATCTTTACTTCATTTGATGTATCTATAAATACAATCGTATGTTCATTTCAGCACTTTTACATTTTCAGTCCCATTTACACACATCACACAAAACGGTATCAACAACTACAGGTATCTTTGAGACAGAGATAGATAAGTATTTATACACATTTGATAACAAAGAAAACACGGCTCTCTTTTGAAGAACCTGAAATTACTTGCATTGACCAATGTGAGAATGGCATATGTTGTCTATTCAGCAGAATTTTTTTCTGTTCCAGAACTCATGGTCTTATTATCCTTGCACTTTACTTTCCACGTGTTGACTTTTCATTCGTTCACACTGTTATACTCCTATTAATTTTTCTGATCAACAACACCATCTAGATCTTCCTTCTCATGCAGAGGAAATACATAATACTAACATATTTGCCTCCCAAATCTACCGCGTTTCATGATATCCGTGGTGTCGATTGTTGTTGGCAAAAATAAATCGTGTTTGGAGATATAACGACAATTGGAACGTTTGTTTTCATTCTATAACATTATAAATATTTTGAGAACATAACCTAACTTTGATTTGATAGGTCTTTGGTTATCGAGACAAATGTGAATGGCGTCGAACTCGCAAGAGTATAAAAAAATAAGAAAGTTAAATGGATTATGAAACGATATACAATGTAATTATTTTGCATTTTAAGATCTCAATAAACAAGTAAAAGCATATATTGTTTCATTTGCTTCCCTTGAAAGGTCCTCCTACCTCCATTACAGATGACGCCAGCATCCTCAGAGTGATCACAGTCATGAACACCAAATCCCCCGAACACACACTGGGCGAGGTTCTTTTCTGTTCCTATACATTCCACGTCATCCATAACGATGGAGCCACTACCTTGCCCAAAATAGGCGTTCCCAACGCCTTTAGCTGTCCCACTTCAGGAACAAGAATATGTTCAAGTCATTTCATATAATTATGTATATATTAGAAAATATAGAACAAAATATAAATACCGAAATACACATATTTATAATACTTTCCTCAGAATTTCTTCCAGATTATGTACACTAAGCAAGTATATTAATTTGAAGTATACGTAACAATGAACTGTGATCTAGGTAAAAATTAACAGTCGGATTAATTAGCAAGATCTATTATATAAGGACTTTCAATCAAGTCACGATTTTTGCCATTCCGGAAGTCAAATATGTAATTGAAGAAGTCGAGTATCATTCTCCGCAAAAACCTTAAACCGCAATATTATAGAAAGTAAGTTTCATCTGGTCTTTGGAAATTCAAGACATAATAGCTGTTCTCATTAAATCAAAATCACATACATGTAGTTTGTTTTATTCCATCTCAAGGAATCTTTATTACATTGGAAGGTAAATTATTTTACTCCTTAATGTCGCACTCAATAATGACGTCATCGATATTTGCGTACCCAAACGGTGTAACGTCACAATTGACAATTGGATAATTGATCAGTGTAAAATATTTTAGGAGACCGGTATATATAAATATTATAAGATACGTAGAATACTTATTGCAAACATTTCATTCAACAAAAAGCAAGAATTTTTAACGTACTTGGTAAAACCTAGCATATTGCACACTACTTCTGCGTCGACCTCATCCCAAAGGTCATCACAAACGGTCCCCCATCTGCCATTGAGTTCAATCTCCACACGGCCTTCTTCTGCATTCTGACCATTAACCAGTCGCACGTTGAAAGTTGGTGCTGTGTCTTTAAATACAAAAAATGTACCTCATAAAATTCCTCATACTATGACTATGTAATGTTTTATCATAGATATGCGTTGCCTGTTCCCTCTGGAGTTGGCAAGCATTCCTACCTCTAAACTCAATGCATACATATAAGTATAAAGGGTACCTACTGCTCAGAAGAAAAATCCTGAAACAATCTTACTTATAATGTATATAACTTATGAACCTTTAATTTTATTTTAGGGGATGGATTTATGGCTGGGCTGCAGAGGGTCCTAATCCTTGTGGAGGGTGCTGCAGACACTAGGGATCAAAGGAAGAGATCGAGGGGCAGCCCTCAGACGTTTGGCGGCAACTGCAGAAAAAGCATCGTGTTGGCTATGGCACCGATGTTGAAGTCAACATAGACGAATGATGGATTGGCCAACACTGCTGACACACCAGCTACAATATTACATTCAAAACCAGGATGTTGTTGTAAAGAATCGATACATATGAAGAAGCTGGATACTACCTAATGACGTCGACAGAGGCTTCACAACAGTGACATGCTACACACAAGGGATGTCACAAATATCAGAAGAATATCACCTGATGACGTCGACAGAGGCTTCACAACAGTGACATGCTACACACAAGGGATGTCACAAATATCAGAAGAATATCACCTGATGACGTCGACAGAGGCTTCACAACAGTGACATGCTACACACAAGGGATGTCACAAATATCAGAAGAATATCACCTGATGACGTCGACAGATGCTTCACAACAGTGACATGCTGCACACAAGGGATGTCACAAATATCAGAAGAATATCACCTGATGACGTCGACAGATGCTTCACAACAGTGACATGCTGCACACAAGGGATGTCACAAATATCAGAAGAATATCACCTGATGACGTCGACAGAGGCTTCACAACAGTGACATGCTACACACAAGGGATGTCACAAATATCAGAAGAATATCATCTTTAAGTTATCATAATCGTATCCTACACCATCGTAAAGAGAAATGCATTAGGGTGTGTTTGACAGGATTGAACACGAAAAGAGTAAGACGTCACTCAACCATGCTTATTAAACAAACACACCCAGGCAGTGTGAAGTACAATTAAAATTATACGGAAAACAAGGTGAAATACAATTCAAAATATTTATATGGTAACAAAATAACAATACACGATAATAAATTATCAATTATTGACCTCGCCGTCGGTTGATATTTAGAGATTAGTATATGATCCCTTTGATATTACATCCATTATCAGTCCCAGAGTCCCGATATCAACCAGAGGGCCGACAATATTCTTTAAATTATCCTATATATGTTTACAACGTTGCCCATGTTCTTTGCATTGTGTCCCGATTCAATATAAGCGCCTGTCAACTTCATTTTTACAGATTTCTGTCATCAAACTATATACAAATGTCAGTTATAAGTATACATTTGGCATCGTTGTGTTTCAGGGGCCAAAGGTCAAGGCCAAGATAGTGTCCTTGCTATTTATAGAAAATCATCAACTGATTCAATTAAACACTTAGCAACTTCTTTCTTTTACGGTATTTGGTCAAACTTTGGACACTGTTCTGTTGAATGAATTTTAGTTTAATCATATTTAATTGCCAGGACAAATAGTATTGGGTATACCTTACTACAGCATTATTAACGCCCTCTCCTGTCATACATATTTCAACTATACATACATATTGGCTTAGCTGGGTAAGATGATCAGCGAACTTAATGCAAATAAAAAACTAGGAGACAATTGTGTGTCTGAGATATATATATATATATATACATACTCAACAAAAAAAGAAAGGTTAACATGTTTCCTTGGCGAATACCTGTAAATGAGTGAAAACAATATGACGAAAATGGTAATGTTTTACATTACAAAATCCAAGGGGGTTACCAAAATCATTCAAGCGTGAAAGTCTATATTAGCGAAAGAGCTGCACGAGGTTTTCTGCGACTAACTTGTATCGTCATTTGAATTTCATAAACATTCAAACTGACAACTGATCCTTAGGACTTAGAAATCACCGAATCTTGCTATCTATCAACTTTATCATTATGCCCCGGTTGTCACAAGTACAGAGAGAAAGGGCTGTAGGCATGATCCAGACTGGGGAGTCTCGCCGTCGAGTTGCAAGGCATTTTGGTTGCAGTGTTAAGACAATTTGCCAGTTGGTAAGTCGTTTAAACCAAACTGGGTCAACATCCGATCGTCCTCGAAGCGGCCGACCCCGTAAAACGACCGCCAGGGATGACCGTCGTATACGATTGATATACTTGCGCAATCGATTCGTAACCGCAGTAGAGACTACAAGGACATTGTTTGGGCGTCGTGTGTCTCCCCAAACAGTCCGGAACAGGTTGAGGGCCTACCAATTGAAAGCGCGGCGTCCATACAGTGGACCCAATTTCTTGCGACGTCACCGTAATAATCGGTGTAACTGGACCCGTGTTCACCGTCGTTGGGCTTTACGACAATGGAACAATGTTCTGTTTTCAGATGAGTCCAGGTTTTGTCTGCAACACGGTAACGGAAGGCGCAGGGTGTGGAGGCGACGAGGGGAGCGTTTTGCGAACTGCTATGTCGCAGAACGGGACCGCTTTTGGCGGCGGAAGTGTACTGGTTTTGGGTGGTATTTGTCGGAGGGACTCGTACTAGGCTTGTTGTGTTAAATGGCAATTTAACTGGCATTCGATATCGGGACGAAATTTTAAGACCAGTGGTTCTGCCATTCTTAAGACGCCATGGCGTTGGCGCCATTTTTCAACAGGATAACTCACTAGCGCACACCAGTCGCGTCAGCAGAACTTTCTTGCAGCAGAATAACGTACAGGTGTTAGATAGGCCATCTTAATCACCGGATTTGTCACCGATTGAGCATGTCTGGGACGTTCTTGGGCGACGCGTGAGAGAACGTCAAAATCATACGTCAAACTTGCAGGAGCTGGCCCAAGCCTTGATAGCTGAATGGAACAATATCTCTCCTTGAATTATCCGCCAGTTTACGAGTTCCATGCGACGACGCTGCAATGCTGTTTACTTCGCAAAGGGTGGCCATACCCGTTACTAATGGTGTTACCTTTGAAATTGACCCCAACGTCCTTTACAGTCGAATAAAATCTACTGAACGCAAAGTTTTATAATGAACCAAGACTGCAGTTTTATCATAATTGATCAATTACTTTAATCGTACATGATTGGTAAGGATTTATGAAGGGGGCTAATTAATTAATCACAGAATAAAGTAGTGTTACCTTTCTTTTTTTGTTTAGTGTATATATCAAACCATTTTACCAACGTACAATTAATATGTTTTTTTATTAATCAAACCTTCCCTTGTTTTTCAAAAAAAATGTGAGCATTTCGAAAACACACCAAGGTTGCTTTGTTTTGTCAATTCAGGGATATTTAATGATAGATAACCTGGGTTAATTTCAAGGGTCTATAATCAAACCTTGAAACAACTCTAATCTATCGAGTCTTTATTTCGGACATTCGAAGAAAACATTATAGACAATTTCATATTTCATATTTTCCGCAGACACAGGTAGGGTAATCAAGACCCTTAACTCTAAATAGGTCATGATTAAGTGAACTACAGTTACGAGAGTTGATTGATAAGCTGTGAGCCTTGTATCGAACAAGTTAAGAAGGGGTGTCTTTTTACAGCCATATTATCCCCTCACTATTTAAGGCTGTGTACCCGAAGGTTGGTGTCATTTAGTCTGTTTATGTCGAAGAAGCAGCACTTCAAAGTAAACAAGGCAAGTGATTATTTCAAAATAGACAAAATCGCTGAGTCACGCGGGAATATGTTTGGGTACAATTTGTACATCCAGATAGAGGTAAAACTCATTACTCTCACTGAGTCACGCGGGAATATGTTTGGGTACAATTTGTACATCCAGATAGAGATAAAACTCATGACTCTCACGGAGTCAAGCGGGTATATGTTTGGGTACAATTTGTACATCCAGATAGAGATAAAACTCATGACTCTCAATGAGTCACACGGGAATATGTTTGGGTACAATTTGTACACCCAGATAGAGATAAAACTCATGCCTCTCACTGAGCCACACGCGGGGATATGTTTGGATACAATCTGTACATCCAGATAGAGATAAAACTCATGACTGACTGAGCTACACGCGGGGATATGTTTGGATACAATCTGTACACCCAGATAGAGGTAAAACTCATGACTCTCACTGAGCCACACGCGGGGATATGTTTGGATACAATCTGTACATCCAGATAGAGGTAAAACTCATGACTGACTGAGCCACACGCGGGTATATGTTTGGGTACAATTTGTACATCTAGATAAGAGTCAAGCTCTTTACCCTCACTAAGCCACGCGGGTATATATTATTCTCTATTATTTTTCGCCAGTAACTTATCGCTAGATTGAATAAAACCTGCAAACGAAAGCGGCAGTCGTATCTTACATATACAACACGTAGAATCACGAAGTATGTATGTTATCAATATGTCCAACTACAGTTACTAAAAATATATAGAACAATAGCCACATGTGCACTCAATAATGTCACATACATCTAGACAGTGACATACAATCACGTTTACAATAATACAGTGTAACACGTAAACAGTTCACCCACACGTGAGGTAGTTCCAACAAGTGGTCGCTCGAGAATATACCTACCTGTACATACGACACCAACATCCTCGGTATGGTCACAGTCGTTGTTACCTATCTCGGTCATATTACACGCCAGAAGGGTAGTCTCCGGACCCTGACATATGACGTCATCGTACCATATTGGACCTCTCCCTGAACCAAAATTTGAAGGATACGCGTTCAATCTGTAAAACACAAAACGATGCTGTCCTTTGTTCATTACATTGAATTGAAAAAAAAACAAGACAACGATGCACCTAAAATATTTAATCAAGCGAACGGTGCCACAAGAGTCGATTTTCATATCTAACAAAAAAACAAACAAACAAATCGGTGATTATCATAGCTTTCTCTGTATCGCTGGAAATTCTGAATTGTTTATTTGTCGGACACCTTTCACGGGAACTACATAAGTCAAAAATATAAAAGATGTATACTTAAATTTAAACAGGACTTTCAACATCAATATACCTATATTGTAGATCCGCTTTTCCTTCAAAAATACGCTCCATAACATTCTTCAGTTCTTGTATTTACTTTTGATCAGCCGTTATCAGTAAGACGTGCTTACGAGAAAGAAAAACACTTAATTCCGATATTCATGAGTAAATACAGCGAATATTGTTTGAACTCCCTCATTTTATAATCTTTATTTTATAAAGAGAATCCTCGAGATTGAGTATGTATAACCAAAACAGACGCTATATCGTCTTCTTTTTGTAAGATTTTCTTCGGGCGAGACCACAACATTTTCGTAATATATCGAGTTCTCAAAGTTTGCGCCATCCGTGCTTGAGTGAATAACTTTATGATCGCTACCATTTTATCTTTACCATACAAGAAAAAAATCAGCACTTACGATGGCAATCCGAGCTCCTTGCATGCCACTTTTGCGGTTTTAGATGTGAAGTCATCGTCACACACCGTACCCCATTGGCCGTTTAACTCGACCTCGAGACGGCCTGACATACCATCAGCGGCACCATTCACCAGCCTCATCTTGACGTCCTCTAGAAGAAACAAAAACACTTAAATATAGTAAATGCGAGGCCATATGATCCAGTAGGATGCCTGCTTTTGGATGTTTAAATGTCGACCAAAATCCGTGATAATGGGTCACTGTAGCGAGGACATCGGACTGATGACGTACTTCGACCGACCTGGAGGGACCCTCGAGTTGCTGTGCGACAGTCCGTTACTGAGAGCTGGCCCAACTCTGACAATGTACCGATTGGACAGAGTCATGTGCTTAATATGGTGTGAAAACAAAGAGTAGCTCGAGCAAAATAGCCAAACCTGTGGTCTCGTGATGTACCATTAAGCCTCCAGTGGTGGAGGATTTTTGGACGAAGCCAAATTACTGAAACAACAGTAAAAGTCGGGTTCCTTTTAAAACCGTCAACATTTTGTATATGCATATATCTTTGAGGGTTTAAGGAAATCATGTAAAGATTTTGTTCACCAAGTTGTAAGATTACCTAGTCAAAGGACATCAACACTTCTCTAAAATCTTCAAATGTTGATAACCAATCCAGACATTACAACAAAACACATTAGTAACTAAACAATATCTGTATAACCAACAATTTCCACGTAATAACACAAGACAGAAAACATATCTTGATTTTCCATATAACAAACCCGTAACAAAAAACCCGTCAGAAGCACGTCCCAACACCAACATTTTATAAATAAAAAAAATGATTCTTCAAACAATGTAAATACGGCACCTGCTACAACAGAAACAGTGTGTCATTCACTTAATCTCCTGTGATTATACACTGTACATCCAAGCAAACAGGATTTATCATCTGTAAGTGAAAACTAATCCTTGATCCGGAAGATATTTGTATATTGGAATGTTTATTTAATAAGTATGTGGGTGTGATCAAAGCGTTATCATTTGCAAAAGTGATTTAATTTTCAAATATGTATTTCACTTTTTCTTTCGTCTGTGTCAGTTTTCTGTTTCATGGATGGACTGTAAAATTTTGTCTTTGAAAAAATATACTTAACAGCAATCGATTAAAACATGTTAGATATGTATTAAAATAGAAACCGGACATTCGAACTTACTGGAATCACAAATCACTCCGGCATCTTCTGAATGGAAGCAGTCGTGAAATGAATCCGCCCGACAGTTTTCGAGTGTGGTCTCCAAACCAGTACATTGTAGCTCGTCATAAAATATTTTGCCTGTCCCGTTTCCGAAAACTCCCTCCACAGCAGCCACGGCTACGTCTCTGTAACAAATGATACAGGTCCAATAGTGCACACTGTAACTTCTATATAATTAACGAATCAAGCCAGAAATAATGTGTATGTATATAATATGATAAGTCTTTCTTTTACAGTATATAAATGGACCTTATATTTAAGGACATCGACGAGAACATTACTCTCGGATCGACATTCCTTGTTCACCCTTTTTTCACGAAAACGGACCCAACAAACGTCAAATATATCCTGATATTGAATGACTAGCGGCGTTATATAAAGTTGGTAATATTCGCAGGGATTTAGCTTCGCTTTTTTCGAGTTTTCTAAGTAATCAGCAAATGTTTTACAGCAATGTTAATACAAGATACATGCTTTTGTAGTTACTACCAAGTTGGAGAAACGCGAAATTGAGTCACCGTGAACTAATCACATCCGACTTGAATCGAACTTCCTGAGAAGTAAAATATGAATATCTACCTATTCACTTATTAAAATTGACATAAAATCCCTCTGAATTACCTTTAATTACTAAACGCTTTAATGTCCTGCTTAAGTGACATCCTGGGATGGTGATAAAACCATAAATTTGATAACCAGGAAGTTTCTACATCTGATAAATATTTACTCGTCTATTTTGTAAAAGAATTTGGTAGCAATTTTACATCAGTGCATGTAGTTCGGAAACCTAATAAATGTGTTAATCTTCAGTAATCATTTATCTCATTTTTTCGCATTTTCTTTGAAAATGAGAATATTAGTTTTCAAATATATCAAGAAAACATTAATTTTATTAATAACACAAGACCCCGGGTATATTGTACTTACTCTCACCATGTCAACAATGACACGTTTTACTGTAAAATCCCATGTTTTCGTGACTATTTTGTGGATATTTGATTGCATGGGTTAACATAAATCACGAGAATCCTTCAATATTAAAAAATCAAAATTCTGAACAGTTTACTTATCTTTGGATTCAGGATATCCATAAAATCAACGAAAATGAAAATCCCACGAAAATTAACCAATCTACAGTATGTAACTTTAACCACACCATCCGACTTACCCTTTGGGATAGGCCATTCTGCAAACGACTTTAGCATCATCGTGGTCAAACTGGTCATCACAAATGGTTCCCCAGGATCCGTCTTTCATGAGCTGAACCAGTCCCTGACTAGGGTTCGGACCCACTAGCGTCACATTAGTTACTGAAGAACAAAGTGACCACATGATCGCCATTATGGAGATAGTGCCAAGGTCAAGACTTGCCTATTAAAGTAACGTCGTTCATTTTCACTTCAACTTTTCTTATTGTCAGTTAACAACTCCACAGCCTATCACCTACTATATCAAAGTTTACAAAAACGAAGCGAAATCTTAAAAGGAAGGATATCTCCACTGGTAAGACAGAAACACAAAAATTCCAATTATTGCTAATTTTATAAAGAAAAACGTATTGTGTGAGATTCCAGCTGGACCAGCACACACAACATCCCGAGAAGGGATCACTATATGTAAATTCATACTCATAACGCTTGACATGTATGTAAAGTAATTTTTGTACTTACTTTGCGCATAACTGTAATGGCAGATCAGACCTAAAACAATAAAACATAAATAGAGATTAGTATACGGATATAACATTTCAACTTCAGTCTGTTGGGTATCATCTTGGATATCTCAAATTTCTTATCAATATATTGGGAATTTATTTTAATTACAATTTATGATAATTTACAGCATTTTTCGAGAGAGCAACAGCAATATGATTTGTCAATTCTATATTGAAAAATTGGATGTGAAACTGTGTCTTTTAACATACGGGAATGCGTATATTGGAATCTTGAAAATCACAGCAAAGTTTATGCAGCCTTCCTGGACACACAGAAGGCATTTGATACCGTCTGGTACTCTGCGTTAATGAGGAAAATATATGAATTCGGTATTAGAGGGAATATGTTGAAATTCTTCGTGAATGCCTACAGCAATATATCAAGCGCTATAATGTCCCATGGCACTAGATCACGAAAGGTGCCGCCAGTTCGTTCTGGTATCAGGCAAGGTGGGATCGCGTCCACATTTTTATATCTTACATAAATGATTTGTTGACCGATTTGGAAGACTCAAATGAGGGAGCAATGCTAATGGATATCAAATATTGAAACCCCGCGCTTGCAGATGACTTAGTCCTGCTTACCATTTCCCCGTCGTCTCTTCAAAAAATGCTAGACATCTGTGCCGAATATGCAAAGTCTATGCACTTCTGGTACAATACAGAAAAGAGCACCATAGTTGTATTTGGGAAAAGACGAAACGAAAACGTTAAAACAACATGGACACTTATGGACAATAACTTAAATACATCAAAATCGTGTAAACACGCTGGTATCCTTTTATCAGAAGATTTGAAGTGCTCCGGAGCGATACAGAACGCACGTGCAAAGGGCAGGAATTCTTTTAATCTTATCACTAAATTTGGATCAGATTGCCAGAGCACGAATCCGTTAACCACTAAAAGTTTGTACAAGAAGGTGGTTCTTCCAAGCGTATTGTATGGATTAGAGTTTTGGTGCAATCCTACCAAAAAGGATATACAGCAAAACCGGGTATTTCAACATCAGATAGCTAAGAGAACCCAGTGCCTTCCAATATATACCCGATCAGACATAGCTTTACTGGGTCTTATAAAAATGGAAACTGTAATAGAACAGCGGAAATTGAATTTTTTGTGTTCACTCATTAGCCTACCATCATGTATATTATCTAAAGACATTTTAATCCGTAGACTATACCAGTTTTGTGATAAAAACGGTGAAATACAGACGGGATTTATTCCGGACGTACACAAACCTCTACTAAAATATGAATTAAACAGTGATTTAGTTACATATTTGTGTAACCCTGGTAAAATACTATCCGCAATGTACCACTCGGCTAGAGAGAACTTCTCTTTAGCTCGATTGAAAACGAGGTGGATTCCTAGCGGAGGCATTGAGATGAAAAATGACCTCTGTAATTTGGAATCGTTAAAACACTTCATTCAGAAAATGAACGAATCGAAAGTCGAATGCAGAAAGACATTGATTTCCTTCGATTCAAGGAAATACATGGACGTTATGAACCATGGGTCATGTGGACAATTCCAGTAAAAACTCAGCGTGATAGTTCAGCGATACGATACACCAACAAAGTCTTGACGACTATTCCAAGATGGATTGAAGGTCAGTGTCAGTGATGTGGATCATTATACATTGACTTGATACTACACATAGTGACGACCTGTGACGTCACACAATTTCTCAGGATTGATTATATGATATCGATCATAGAAAATTACGGCAAGGAGTTTGCTGATCACTTGAACACTTTACCCCATGAAGAATTTTTCGGGCGACGTTTAGGTAAAGATTCCAAGACTTACGCACCTTTAATAGACACTAAAGGATTTTATCTGGACAGTGCTAAATATATATCCAATGCCGCCAAACTATACTTCGACAATAAAAATCTTACGCACACATCATAAATGTGTGTACATTTGATAATTTAGTGTTATATTACAAAAAAGGACTGTTGGTGATACTTACGAAGTTATCCCATACACCATAGTTGTAACATATAATTAAATATATAACTTTGTAAATTTTTTGTATCTCTTATTAAGAGGAATAAAATAATTGATTGATTGTGCTCATAAAAAACAAAGGTGGATACTCACATCATGTAACATAGCTATCATTATACATCTACATACCTACAGCTTGTAGTTATAACTATACATCTACCTACCTACAGCTTGTAGTTATAACTATACATCTACCTACAGCTTGTAGATATCACTATACATCGACCTACCTACAGCTTGTAGGTATCACTCTGCATCTACCTACCTACAACTTGTAGTTATCACTATACATCTACCTACCTACAGCTTGTAGTTATCACTATACATCTACCAACAGCTTGTAGATATAACTAAACATCTACCTATCTACAGCAGCTTGTAGTTATCACTATACATCGACCTACCTACAGCTTGTAGTTATCACTATGCATCTACCTATCTACTGCTTGTAGTTATCACTGTACATCAACCTATCTACAGCTTGTAGTTATCACTATACATCTACCTACCTACAGCTTGTAGTTATCACTATACATCTACCTATCTACAGCTTGTAGTTATCACTATACATCTACCTATCTACAGCTTGTAGTTATCACTATACATCTACCTATCTACAGCTTGTAGTTATCACTGTAGTTATCACTAAACATCTACCTACCTACAGGTTGTAGTTGTCACTATACATTTATATACCTACAACTTGTTGTTATCACTATACATTTATCTACCTACAACTTGTTGTTATCACTATACATTTATCTACCTACAACTTGTTGTTATCACTATACATTTATCTACATACAACCTGTTGTTATCACTATACATCTATATACATACAACTTGTAGTTATCACGATACATCTACTTACAGCTTGTAGTTATCACTATACATCTACCTACAACCTGTTGTTATCACTATACATCTATATACATACAACTTGTAGTTATCACGATACATCTATATACATACAGCTTGTAGTTATCACTATACATCTACTTACAGCTTGTAGTTATCACTTTACATCTATATACATACAACTTGTTGTTATCACTATACATCTATATACATACAGCTTGTAGTTATCACTATACATCTACCAACAGCTTGTAGTTATCACTATACATCGACCTACCTACAGCTTGTAGTTATCACTATACATCTACCTATCTACAACTTATAGTTATCACTATACATCTACCTACCTACAGGTTGTAGTTATCACTATACATCTACCTATCTACTGCTTGTAGTTATCACTATACATCTACCAACAGCTTGTAGTTATCACTATACATCTACCTATTTACAACTTATAGTTATCACTATACATCTACCTACCTACAGGTTGTAGTTATCACTATACATCTACCTATCTACAGCTTGTAGTTATCACTATACATCTACCTACCTACAGGTTGTAGTTGTCACTATACATCTACATACATACAACTTGAAGTTATCACTATACATCTACCTTAAGCTTGTAGTTATCACTATACATCTACTTACGTACAGCTTGTAGTTATCACTATACATCTACCTTAAGCTTGTAGTTATCACTATACATCTACCTATCTACAGCTTGTAGTATCACTATACATCTGCATACAGCTTGTAGTTATCACTATACATCTACCTACATACAGCTTGTAGTTATCACTACACATTTACCTACCTACAGCTTGTAGTTATCACTATACATCTACCTATATACAGCTTGTAGTTATCACTACACATCTACCTACATACAGCTTCTAGTTATCACTACACATCTACCTTAAGCTTGTAGTTATCACTATACATCTACCTATCTACAGCTTGTAATTATCACTATACATCTACCTATCTACAGCTTGTAGTTATCACTACATATTTACCTACATACAGCTTGTAGTTATCACTATACATCTACATACATATAACTTGTAGTTATCAGTATACATCTACCCAACTACAACTTGTCTATCCTTCCAAATGTAATACGAACATTAATATTATTTTACATTACGTCATGAATCACCTCCTTAGTTTCAAACATTTTTGTCCTTGACATCACTGAGGAGATGTAAAAGGCTGAAACAGTTATATGATGCAGTTCTTTGACTCTATTGTATTCAATTTTATGATATTCATTGTCTTATTACAATCTTAAGCTTTTCTTCTTATAACTGTTCTTGCCGGGTCTGACATTTTACTAATTTTTGCCATAATGCTTCTACAGTTAATCCTTAGTACGCCTATGTCTACAGTTCATCCTTAGTACACCTATGTCTACTGTTCATCCTTAGTACCTATGTTTACAGTTCATCCCTTAAAAGCCTCTTTCTACAGTTCCTCATTTATATGCCTAGGTATAATGTTCATCCTTAGTACGCCTATGTTTACAGTTCATCCTTTAAAAGCCTCTTTCTACAGTTCCTCATTTATATGCATAGGTATAATGTTCATCCTTAGTACGCCTATGTCTACATTTCATCCTTTATCAGACTATGTCTGCAGTTCATCATTTAGACGCCTATGTCTACAGTTCATCATTTAGACGACTATATCTACAGTCCATCCTTAGTACGCCTATTTCAACATTTCATTCTGGGGACGCCTATGTCTACTGTTCACCCTTAGTACGCGTACGTCTACAGTTCATCCTTTATCAGACTATGTCTACAGTTCATCCTTTAGACGCCTATTTCTTCAGTTCGTCCTTAGTACCCCAATGTCTACAGTTCATCCTTAGAACGCCTATGTCTACTATTCATCCTTATAACGTCTATGTCTGCAGGTCGTCCTTTAAACGTCTATGTCTACATTTCATCCTTTATCAGACTATTTCTTCAGTTCATCCTTAGTACGCCTACGTCTACAGTTCATCCTAGTAAACCTATGTCTACAGTTCATCCTTAGTACGCCTTTGCCTATAATTCATCCTTAGCACGCCTATTTCAACTGTTCATCCTTATTAAGCTTATGTCTACAGTTCATCCTTAGTACGTCAACGTCTACAATTCATCCTTATTAC